TACACTTAGGCCTTTTCATACCATTCTTACACCTTGAAAACGTTGAAATTGAGATTGGGATGACATAATCTGCCTTGGTTTGCTTTTGTGTTTGATGGTGGGTTTGTTGAGTAGATGACTCAACCATTTGACTAGGTTGGGATTGAGTCAATGACTCAATTAGTTCAAGGGTTTTATGTGTGGGTGGTTTGTGTATATAAGTGATTGTGATAAGTGAAAGTAATACATGATGAATTGTGAAGTGATAAAGTGATAAACGATAAGTGATAAAGTGTGATGTGTTATGAATGATGTGGTAAGTGAATTTGGGTAGTAATGCATTGAGTTTTGAATGTCATGTCTCATGTGCTTTTGTGTTTTATGATGCGTATGGTGTAGAATACACTATTAGGGAAGACCCCCTTGTGTAAAATCTTAAGGATTAGTCCTTGGGATATTTTGGCTTGGGAAGCCCTAGTTTCGCCTATTGTGTGCATGGAGCGTATCTAACATGGCTTAGTTATTCTTATGAGACCTAGTAGTATATCCTTCTAGTGAGTATTGTGATGGCTTGACCTGACATATACTCCTAGACTACTCAACCTTAGGGTTGGGAAAAGTATTTTTACTAGCACCAGATTCATATAAATTAGGAGAGTTTAGTATATGTACGATCATAATATTTTTCTTGTGTTTAAACTATATTTTGATTAATATCGTGATGGAATGAGATGTAAATTAAGTCAAAATTATTGTATAGATTGATGAGGAGTTTAATTATTTGGTTTATATATAATGTTTGTGTCTGACTACCCGACCTTATTTTACACCAGTAGTTAGAGTGAAATATGTTCTCACTCCCCTATTCTACCTCGTGGATGCTTATCTATGGTTGTAGGAGGCTTCCATTTTGGAGGAGTCTAGTTGATTAAAGGGAGATCTCTGATGCGTGTGATACTAGGGATATTAAATTATGTTTTGTGCTTTCTATTTTAGGAATTTTAGTTTACTTTCCTTAAAACGTACTATCCTTAAAGTTGTAATAGTTAGGCGTTGATTTAGTTTATTTGAATGTTGAATGTGATACTCTTTACCTTTGTTTGAAGTTATTGAAGTACAATATTTTTTTCTTATAATTGTTATATTATGTATGCAGGGTAGAAGCACTACAAGAAAAACACAAATTTTTGACAGACATAATCTGTTGAAAAGAAGGAAAATCTGTCAGAAATTCTCTATTTTGGACAGATACAAATTCGACGAAAAATGGGCATCAGAAAAAAAAATTCATTGAAAAAAATTTAATCCTTCGAAAAAAAATTTGTTTAATTTTTAATAAATTTATTAATGTAACAATCCTCGTATTTGACCTCTTAAGGATTCTATTTCACGACACTTCACTTTTCAGCTTATTTCGCCCTTACGGCATAGTTTTTAGGAAACTTCCTAGAAGGTCACCTATCTCTATATTACTCCAAGTCAAACACGCTTAACTGTAGAGTTTTATAGTACAAATTAATTCATTTAAGTCATCCTCAACTATACAATCTCAAACTTATACTATCTTTGAATCCCTCTCATTTTGGTGTATCTGGATCGTTATAAAAATATAATAATACATATAATAATTATATTATCAATAATAATTATTATTTTATATTGAATTAATCTTTATTTATATATATACTTGGTTGGGATTGAGTCAATGACTCAATTAGTTCAAGGGTTTTGTTTGATGGTGGGTTTGTTGAGTAGATGACTCAACCATTTGACTAGGTTGGGATTGAGTCAATGACTCAATTAGTTCAAGGGTTTTGTTTGATGGAGTAGATGACTTCGCAGATTGAGTTGGCCCTGTTAAGACCAAATGATTTCCTCTGCCTCTTCCTCTGGTTGAGGCTAATATTGCTTTTTTAGGCATCTGACGATGTTCCTTGTAAGTATTCACAAGTAAGATAATCAGGAAGAGAATTTGAGGTGCCTTTGAGATACTCAAGTCAAAATCAAAAACACTTAAAATTCTTTGCCATCTAGCAAAAAAATTTGTTTTGATGCAAGATTCTTAACATTGTTTTGCAAAATTTCTTTGGCTGATTTGCAATCAACCCTAATTAAAAAATTTTGATTTAAAAGATGAGATTGGAATTTTGAAACACAAAGAACAATTGTTAAAACGTTTTTTTTGACAGTTGAATAATTCTGCTATGCAGGGTTCCAATGTTTGGAAGTATAAGCCACGATGTGCTCTTTATCACATCTGGTATTTTATATTGATGCTTGGACTAAAACGTTCTAGTATCAAAATAAAACCAATTGCCACTCATGGCTTATCTATTTCAAAAGAAATATTCAATACAAGTTTCCCAACTAGTTCCTCCAATGGTGGGACTTTTGAAGGAATTCCTTTGAAATGGAGGAGGTCTTAATGGGTGATTTGATTTCCCAAATTTATATTGCCATGAAAATATCCAAGACAACGAAAAGCTTGAGAAAAATTGAAGGTCTGCTGGAATCCATGTATTCTGGCAATCATACATAGATTTAAAAACCTTGAAACCTTCATCTGCGGGAGAAGGAAGAATTTCTTCAATTGGACCACAAAAGTCCCACCATTGGAGGAACTAGTTGGGAAACTTGTATTGAATATTTCTTTTGAAATAGATAAGCCATGAGTGGCAATTGGTTTTATTTTGATACTAGAACGTTTTAGTCCAAGCATCAATATAATCCCAATAATAGTACTCAATAAGGTCAAAAAAGCATTGAAAACTTCTGAAAAGTATTATTCGGATTTTGGCCAAACTGGCTAGGAGTTAAAACTTTTAATATTTGGAAAGTTGTATGGGTTATATTAGAAGGATCTTTTGGATCCTTATAATGTTTGATTGCTACAGAATCTGTATCAACCAAAATAAACTCATAGAACTTTCGTGTTTTATTGAGGGCAAAAGGTTTAAAATGAAAACTCTCAGGAAAATTTTTTGAGGAATTTTGTTTGGGTTTTTATCCCAAAATTCAGGTTGCATTTGAACGATAACTAAAATCTTATTTTTTGGGACATAATGAGATTGAGATGTTTGGGGCTTTTTTGATTGAGTCAAAGTCTGAGTTTGGGAAGTTGATTGGGTTTGTTTTTCTGGTAATCTACCAAGGAGGAGATCCATAGCTTTATCTTCTCCTTCATCTTCTTCTTCTGACATAAGGTCAGCCCAAGTCTTGTTTGGAATTAAGGTTAGACTCTGGGATTGAAGATTTAATAGGGTTGAAATTGAGATTGGGATGACATAATCTGCCTTGGTTTGCTTTTGTGTTTGGTGGAGGGTTTGTTGAGTAGATGACTCAACCATTTGACTAGGTTGGGATTGAGTCAATGACTCAATTAGTTCAAGGGTTTTGTTTGATGGAGTAGATGACTTCGCAGATTGAGTTGGCCCTGTTAAGACCAAATGATTTCCTCTGCCTCTTCCTCTGGGTATTGATGATCTTTTTTAATATATGATTGTCCATTTTTGTCAAAAATTCTTACATTTTTGACAAATATAAATGTGTCGAAAATATCCCATCAGTAATATAACTTTTTCATAAGAAATATAAATTTTTCGATAGATTTATATCTGTCAAAAATTACCGACAGATAAATCCGTCGAAAATATAAATAAATTTTTCGACAGATTTGTACCCATCAAAAATTACCGACAGATATATCCGTCGAAAATATAAATTTTCTGATAGATTTGTATCTGTCAGAAATTACCGACGTATATATCCGTCGGAAATATAAATTTTCTGACAGATTTGTATCCGTTAGAAATTATCCTTCGGAAATATAAATTTTTCGACGGATTTATATTTATCAAAAATTATCCGTCAATAATTTATATTTTTCTTATAGTGAAGGTGTCTTATTTCTTTCTATACAAATATGCAGAAGTGATGAAGGACTTAAGGAGTACTATTTCCTGTTGTGACTTTGATCTCCCTCAAATTTCCATACTTGATCTCACTTAATTCTTTATGCTTAATGATCGCACCTCTAAGGACTTTAACAAATATTTTGTAAGAAAAATTTAGACATCACATTAGTGATCTCAACTCAACTTTATTCACATTTTATAATAAATTCAATAGTAAGTAAGAATAAAAATAAGTCAGACAAGTTATGAGGAGATTGCATCTTCATTTATCTTGACAAATTTATCAAAACGGCTAAAATTGGTCATTTTTTAATTAGTTTTTAACTAAAAGAATTTATACATTTAAAATAAAAGTGTATAAGTTTGATAGGCTGATCCATTTCAAATATTATATATATATATATATATATATATATATGTATATATATATATATTTTTTATCAATATTTTTAATGATGAGGGATCCGTTTGCTTTAGGAGTAAGTCTACTTAAATTTATTCCGTTTAATAACTTATCCTTTATATCAAATCTCAACAATTCAATCGTTAAATTTAAAGTTCTTAATGCACAAATCAAATATGCAAATTTTAAAAAAATTTGAAAATCATTTGATATTTTGTTTTATTAATTCAAATTAATGGATAATCATAAAAAAAACATAACATCCGTCAATTTGAATTAATGAAATGAAGTATTAAATGATATTCAAATTTTTTTAAAAATTTGCAAATTTGATCTATGCATTAAGAACTTTAAATTCAATGATTAGATCGTTGAGATTTGATATAAAACATGAATTATTGAACATAATAAGTTTAAGTAGATTTACTAGAATAAACAGATCCGTCCTTATTTTTAATAATTTGACTTTTTGGTCTACTTATGTCTATTAGTCAGTGTTATGAATCTTACATAAAACAGGTTATATAAATAAATTTTTAAATAGATCAAATCAGACCATTAAAAAAAAAAAACTTTTGACAATTAAACATGTCAAACTTAGATGAGTTAAAACCTAATTTAACCTGCTTTCATTCTCTAATAATGACAAAATTCAAATAATGTAAAACAAGGCGCAATAGCATAATCCAAATTAAAAGAGCCACTCCAACATAAAAAGTACTAGGATTCATGCAACTATTTATAAATTTTAAACAAAAATATAAGTTGTTGAAAAAGACACCTTGCTACATGAACTTTTATAAAATTGACGGCGCATATTATTACTTTATCGCCAACTTTATTTTTCTTTAGTTTTGTTGGACGTATTGTATTACATGTGTTTCCCTCCATGCATATCACTACTGATGAGGAATTTATCAAGGACTTGAGGAGTGCTCTTCCCCGTTGTGACTTTGAACTTCCTTAAATCTTCATACTTGATCTGTTCCAATTCTTTAAACTTAAATGGTCGATAAAGTTGTGTATGGTCAACTTCCACCAACTTTGGTGGGGCCTCAACATGACCATCCCTTGGTGATAACATAAATGTACCCAGTGAATAACGAGCATTTGGTTCCTTGCATATTACACGATGCCCCACATTATGAAACTTTCCATTGCTCCAAGCCTGTTCAAAGATATATTTATTTATTTTCAAGAGAATATGTAAAGTGCACAAATGTTAAAATAAACTTTCATGGATTCAAATAAAAGTTTAATATATCACTTGATTCTTAAACTTTGTAAGATTGTTTAATTAGGTACTTAAACTAATATATATATATAATATATATATATATATATATATATATAATTAGGTCTTTTATTATTTTATATATATTTTTAATTTAATATTAAGGTTAGAAGTTTGTTTACAATCCATAAAATTTCACCAAATATTCTCAATATACATGAATGATGACACAAAATAATAATATAATTATCTAAGCATACATATATTAAAAATATATTGTGAAATTTCATGGACTGTGAATGAATTTCTAACCGCAGCATGAACTAAATTGTAAAAGTATATAAAGATGAAAACCTAATTACAATATATTTTTTAGTTTAAGAATCTAATTAAAAACTTTCAAAAAGTTTAGGTACCAAATAATATATTAAACTTTTAAATAAATAAAATTAACATTGCAGATGTATGCTTACTCGTCCAACATCTCCAATAATGCAAAAGAAGGACCCAGATTTGGGAGGGACTGTCTTAAATGTGTTAGAATCATCCACCAACTCAAGACCACTAACAGTTTCATCATCTTGAAGGATTGTGATAAATCCTGTATCTGAATGCAGGTGTGCTCCAACAGAGCCCATAGTTTCTGGGCTGAAATTATATCTCATAATCCTAAAAATGAATGGCCAGTCCTTGAAATCAATATCCTCTATGCCCAAAGTCCCAGCCAACTTTTGTGCTACACTTGATGCCAAGTCATGAACTGCTTGCCCATATGCCTCTATTATTTGCCTAGAGCAAACAAATTAACTTGATCAATGTTAAAGATATAATATGAAACTCTTAGAAGATCTTAAATGGTAGGGAGCAATTTTCATAAAAACACACACAAGAAAATTCTTATCTCTTCTGATAATTTTTCTCTATTATCAAACTACTAATACACAGTGGTCCTATACCATTTTTCGGTCCAATACAAATCAATAAATATGACCTTTCTATATAAACATTTTAAAATATAAATATGTATAACATAAAAATAGATACATAATTTAATAAAAATTTATATTTTATTATACAAGATTTGACGATTATAATTTAGTCTTAAAGTAATAAAAAAAATGATTAAAGAATTATCTAATTTTATAAAAAAAAAAAACATTGGATTCCTCTTAACCATGAGTTATGCAACATCATGACTCTAAATATAATTTATGATAAGAGATTCAATTTTAATAATTGAACCCAAATGATGTACAAACTAAAAAGACTCAAAAACATGATGAAAAATCACATGAAAATAAGTTAAATCAGCAATAAAAAAATGAATGAAAAAAAAGTCTAATATCGTATTATTTTCAAGTTGCTCATAAGATTTGTTTTTCATGTGGTTTGCACTATGTCTTTACCTAATCCTTTTGGTTCAACCATCAATTAGATTTCATAATTTTCATGTAGATAAATTTATTGAGACAAATTTCACTTATTGAGTTTAAATTGTGACCCAAAATTAAAAACAAAACACTATTTCGAAAGGAGGGAATTGGACAAAATTTAAAAGATAAAAATATTAATTAAAATAAAACCAAAGTGAATTAAAGATAAGATAAAGAAACGAAATTATATTTTAGTTTTTAACTACTTCCTTTTGAGGGGTCACGACCCTAAAAAAATGCTTAGTGTGGGAGAGTAAAATAAAAGAACCTATCATGGGGTGACACCTCCAATTGGAAGAAGAAATCTTGAATTTCTTGTGGGGATGAATGCATGTCATAGATTCCCAAGCCTTCATATACAGGACTTGTTACACTTAGTGACACATAGCCATCGTCAGGGAGAATGGCTGTTTTGTTGCGCTTTTTGATGTCCCTAGGAAGATCATGCAAGTGTTTAGCCACTAATTTCATGTCAATCATAAGTGTTGGTGGAACAGGGTGGTTGATGATTCTGAAACACCCATATTTCTCACATGCTTCTCTTAGTTTCTTCAACTCCTCTTGATCTGATGAAAGTTTCTGGAAATCCACCACTTGAATGCTTGCCTCCATCTCTTTCTTTCTTCACCTTACGTCTTTGTCTTTTCCTTGAACTTGGATGAAAGAGACAGACATAAACATTATATAAATATACGAATAAATATCTAATGTTGTTAATAGCAGTACAAAAAAAAAATTGTTATGCAATGGCATACACCTTGTAATTATACAATATTTTTCACTAAAAATTACTTTTACTTACATTATAAATACAATATATATTTGATATATTATAAAAAAATATAGGTATATGCTATAATGATACACAATATATCTTTTTCGTGAATCGTGACACATAATATATGTTATTGAATCTCATTCAAACTTAAATTATGTGTAACTATATCTCAAATAAATTTATACTTACATATATTGTATCAATAGTTACACCTTTTGTATGTTACTGTATGTAACATATCTTGTAGTGATATTTAACAAATAAATTCATTTTCAGTAAATAATCGGTAAATCCATAGTATATAAGGAAGAACATTAATTAAATATCTTAATTTAATAAAATATCAATAACATTAGAAAAATATGAATGTATTTCTAGATGTTCAAAATAGTAAACATTAAATATTGATTCATGTATTTATAATATTATTAATAACATTAAATATTGTCCTTGTTAAAAAAAATTAAATATTGTATTGATTTGTGTGTATTTATATATTTTATTTTAATAATATATATTGAATGTATGTTTCTTGATATGAAAAGTAATAAGTATTGAATGTGTACATATTGTGAATGTTATTAGTAAAAATTGAGTTTCACAAGCAATCTGAAAAATAAATTAATGATTAAAATTTTTAATTTTTTTAATTGTTTATGAGACATTTTTTTCACAGAATTTTTATTATATTAATGAAATATTTTAATTTAAATATTAACACAATTTATAATTTTTATGTATGTGAATCTAATAAAAAAAGTTGTATTCTTGAATGAAACTGAATTTCAAAATTGAATAAAATCAGTGTTTCATTAGCATTAAATAAAATTTAAAAGTTAAAGAATTCAGATGAATGTCTAAAAAAAATGTCTTTAACAATAAGTCATTAATATAATAAAAATTGTATGAAAAGCGAATCCAAAAAAAATTGAAAATTTTAATATACTTTTCTATTTACTCATAAAACTCACTTATTTACGTATTGGGAAAAACTCAAGTCTCACATCGACTAGAGATTAGGCAATTAAATAGAATATAAGTGAAAAGCAACCCTCACCTTACAAGGCAGTTTTGTAGGGTTGAGTTAGGCTTAATCCACTATTCTAAGATGATATCAGAACTATCCTAGATTCTTAAAAATGAGTCACCCACCATTCATTGATACATGCACCATGGGCATGAGGGGTTGTATTCAAGTCCCGCCATTAAAAAAGGGTCACCTACCATTCATTAATACACGCACCATGGGCATGAGGAGGTGTATTCAAGTCCCGCCAATCCTAGATCATTAAAAAAGGGTCACCTACCATTTATCCACGTACCAAGCTCAATAGTGCTGGACGTGAGGGGGTGTATTGGAAAAAATCTAAGTCCCACATCGACTAGAGATTAGACAATTAAATAGTATATAAGTGGAAAACTACCCTTACATTACAAGCCAGTTTTGTAGGGTTGAATTAGACTTCAATCCACTATTCTAAGATGGTATCAAAGCTATCCTAGATTCTTAAAAATGGTTCACCCACTATTCATTGATACATGCACCATGGGCATGAGGGGGTCTATTCAAGTCCCGCCATTAAAAAAGGGCTACCTACCATTCATTGATACATGCACCATGGGCATGAAGGGCATGAGGGGGTGTATTCAAGTCCCGCCAATCCAGCTAGATCATTAAAAAAGGGTCACCTATCATTTATCCACGTACCAAGCTCAATAATGCTGGACGTGAGGGATGTGTATTGGGAAAAACTCAAGTCCCACATCAACTAGAGATTAGGCAATTAAATAGTATATAAGTGGAAAACAACCCTCACCTTACAAGTCGGTTTTGTAGGGTTGAGTTAGGCTTCAATCCACTATTCTAAGATTGTATCAGAGCTATCCTAGATTCTTAAAAATAGGTCACCCACCATTCATTGATACATGCACCATGGGCATGAGGGGGTGTATTCAAGTCCCGCTATTAAAAAAAGGCCACCTACCATTCATTGGTACGTGCATCATGGGGATGAGGTGGTGTATTCAAGTCCTGCAATTAAAAGAGGGCCACCTACCATTCATTGATACATGCACCATGGGCATGAGGGGGTGTATTCAAGTCTCGCTATTAAAAAAAGGCCACCTATACCATTCATTGATACATGCACCACGGGCATGAGGAGGTGTATTCAAGTCCCGCCATTAAAAAAGGGCCACCTATACCATTCATTTCTGTTTGGAGAATTAATTGTCTTATGTGATTCTGTATATCTTTAAGACTACGAATATATGATTTATTTGTAAAAATAATGCTCTGAAAAAGAGAACGAAATTATAGAAAAGTGCTTGTAAGTTAGGTTGTGAAAAATTGGATGATTTATGTTTGAGGAATTGATGATCCCATTAGATTTTGTATATGTTGAGGATTATAAATATGCTAATAATTTGTAAGAATGATGATCTGGGAGAGAGAACGGAATTGTAGAAAAGTGCTTGTGAGCTAGGTTTTGGAACAATTGGGGATTTTACTGTTTATGTTAAAATTATATTAAATTGATAATTCTATTGTTTATTATATTAATTTATGAATGTTATTATATTATTTAATAAGAATTGATGATTTAAATGTGAATTGCTTGAGGGATGTGTAAATCCTTATTTTGTTAGACTTATCTGTTGTGTATGTGATATGGAATTGTGTATGTGATATGGAATCGTGATATGAGATGAGATGTTGTATGGACATGATTAAGAATGTGATTGCGATGTGTTTTCTCACACTAATGACTAGGGATGGCACGACCCCTGGGTAAGTGGTGCTACAGGGAGGGTGTGACCCTAGCATGATGTGTGATGAGTAAGACAGTTAACACACACCACTTATGTCGATTATGGCAGCCCTGACATAGGGTTAATTGCAAGAGACTGTATGGATTGTAATTTGATTGTGGTTCCTCACACTCATGCTTCAGGGACGAGCGTACTCCTGAATGATCAGGGATGATACGAACCTTGGGTAGGTGATGCTTCAGGGACGAGCGTACTCCTGGATGATCAGGGATGATACGAACCCTAGTATGGTGTGGGTTGAGTGAGGCAATTAACCCGTATCACTTGTGTCAGATGTGGCGAGGTCTTGGCATAGTGTTAATTGTAAGATTGGCTTGAATTATGGATGTGGAAATGATATTGTTAATCGTAAAATTGTGTGGATGGTGATGGATTGATAAATTATTATACATGCTTATATATATGAATTATGATCAGATTTCATTATGATGTGGTTGTATGTATTTTGCATATAGATATTTTCTTTTCTCACCGTATAAATTGTGGATGTTTTAGGTGAGGAAGATCCGGCTACGAGTAGAATGCCAACAGTTGAATTGTGGGTATGCTATGATATTGTGACATCGGGGCAGAGGATTTTAGGACATAGATTTTATATGGATTTGGAATTGTAAATATGATTTTGAAAATAATTTGTAAATTTTCAAGTTATATTTTCAATTATTATGTTGGTTATTGATAAATGAATATGAAGGTTTTATGTGAACCCTTTTACCAACGTTAAAAATTTTATTCTTTAGTTTATTTATATGATTAATATTTATATATGTGTTGGGGTAGTAAGGGTGTCACAATTGATACATGCACCATGGGCATGAAGGGCATGAGGGGGTGTATTCAAGTCCCGCCAATCCAGCTAGATCATTAAAAAAGGGTCACCTATCATTTATTCACGTACCAAGCTCAATAGTGCTAGACGTGAGGGAGGTGTATTGGAAAAAACTCAAGTCCCACATCAACAAGATATTAGGCAATTAAATAGTATATAAGTGAAAAATAACCCTCACCTTACAAGCCGGTTTTGTAGGGTTGAGTTAGGCTTCAATCCACTATTCTAAGATGGTATCAGAGCTATCCTAGATTCTTAAAAATAGGTCACCCACCATTCATTGATACATGCACCATGGGCATGAGGGGGTGTATTCAAGTCCCGCTATTAAAAAAAGGCCACCTACCATTCATTGGTACGTGCATCATGGGCATGAGGCGGTGTATTCAAGTCCTGCAATTAAAAGAGGGCCACCTACCATTCATTGATACATGCACCATGGGCATGAGGGGGTGTATTCAAGTCTCGCTATTAAAAAAAGGCCACCTATACCATTCATTGGTACATGCACCACGGGCATGAGAAGGTGTATTCAAGTCCCGCCATTAAAAAAGGGCCACCTACCATTCATTGATACATGCATCATGGGCATGGGGGGTTGTATTCAAGTCCCGCTATTAAAAAAAGGCCACCTATCATTCATTGGTAGTTGGATAAATGGTATGTGGCCCTTTTTAATGATCTAGGATTGGCGGGACTTAAATACACCCCCGCATGCCCATGGTGCATGTATCAATGAATGGTAGGTGGCCCTTTATTAATGGCGGGACTTGAATACACCCCCTCATGCCCATGGTGCATGTATCAATGAATGATAGGTGACCCTTTTTTAATGGCAGGACTTGAATACACCCCCTCATGCCCATGGTGCAAGTATCAATGAATGGTGGGTGACCATTTTTAAGAATCTAGGATAGCTCTGATACCATCTTAGAATAATAAGCCTAACTCAACCCTACAAATGAATGATAGGTGGCCTTTTTTTAATAGCGGGACTTGAATACACCCCCTCATGCTCATGATTCATGTATCAATGAATGGTAGATGGCCCTTTATTAATGACGAGACTTGAATACACCCCCTCATGCCCATGGTGCATGTATCAATGAATGGTAGGTGGCCCTTTTTTAATGGCGGGACTTGAATACACCCCCTCATGTCCGTGGTGCATGTATCAACGAATGGTAGACTGCCCTTTTTTAATGGCGGGACTTGAATACACCCCCTCATGCCCATGGTGCATGTATCAATGAATGGTAGGGGACCATTTTTAAGAATCTAGGATAGCTCTGATACCATCTTAGAATAATAGATTTAAGCCTAACTCAACCCTACGAAATCATCGGCTTGTAAGGTGAGAATTGTTTTCCACTTATATACTATTTAATTGCCTAATCTCTAGTCGATGTGAGACTTGATTTTATTAATAATATTCAAAATTAATATAGATATATAAACCTTAAAAATTTGTAAAATGTATTATTTTTCTTATCAATGTATATACATATTGAATATGTAAGGGATACGAATTAATATAATATTTAATAAAAAATTCATATTATATAATGAAGATAATTTATTACATATTATTTTTAAAAAATATTAGAAAAATAAAATATATTTATTTTTAATTTATTCCTATATTTATTAAATTTTATATTGATTTGTGAGTTTTTATATACTTTACTATATATATATATATATATATTTATTGAATGTTATTAATAAAATTGAATTAAATATTTAATTTCATGAGTAAGTTGAAATGAATATGATATTAGACTTTTCAAGATTTAATTAACGTTTAATTACCTTTCGATTCTTATAGTTTCATAGTATTTCTTTACAGTCTCTATAGTTAAAAACTCCTTAATTTAGTCTTTATATATTTTTTTCCTTGTCATGTATTTTTTTTTTGAACAAAGGGTTTATATAACTATATGATCTAAAAAAATAAAATGTTCGCAATTATGGAGATTAAAAGAAAAAGTTTATTCGACTAGAAGGATTAAAATAAAAAAAAAATATATTGTATTTATAAGGAGTAAAATATATATTTTTTAATTATATAAACTAAAAGATAAACTTTATGAAACTATAGGAACTAAAAAGATAATTAAAACAAACAAACATTTTTAGTCCCTATATATATATACTTGTAATACAAATTAATATTACCTTTAAGTTTCATTAATTCTGTAATACAAATTTTACCTTTAAATCTCTCTCTATCTATCTATATATATATATATATAGGGAGCATATCAAGTGAGAGGAATTTATTATGAGAGGGTGAGAGGGTTAAAATATAATCCTTAGATTAATCAAGTGAGAGAAAATTTGGGATTTAATCAAGTGAGAGAAAATTAATCTAAGGGTTATATTTTAACCCTCTCACCCTCTCATAATAAATTCCTCTCACTTGATATGCTCCCTATATATATATATATATAGATAGATAGAGAGAGATTTAAAGGTAAAATTTGTATTACAGAATTAATGAAACTTAAAGGTAATATTAATTTGTATTACAAGTATATATATATAGGGACTAAAAATGTTTGTTTGTTTTAATTATCTTTTTAGTTCCTATAGTTTCATAAAGTTTATCTTTTATATTGCTGCATTGGTATCATATTTATTTTTCCTTTTATTCTTTTATTTATTATTATTATTATTATTAATAATATTATTATTATTATTATTGTAGTTTAAAATTAAAATTGAAATACTTTATTCAAACCTAAGGCATTGAAATATTTAGAAACTTGGTGTAACTCCTTCTATCTGTTCATTATAGCTCAATTTTGGTTTCCTAATCATTCAAATTCTCAGAAACTGTATACCTTTGGATGGTGCATGCAGATCTTATGCCTTAACTCCTGTGTACGAAGCTGCCACAAGGCCCATTGAAGAAGCTTCC